GAACTAGCAGCTATATTTTACGCAGTAGAGCGAATTGCCTCACTACCCCCTGACCAAATACGATGAAACTGAGTGCTTTAACTAACTGCTCCTATACTATCACCTTAGTTTGGGTCCCATTTCATTGCTCAATTCCGGGTAATGAGAAAGCGGACTCGCTAGCTAAGGTGGGCGCTATGGAAGGCGATGTTTTTGATCGATAAATCGCCTTTGCAGAATTTTTCTCAATTACCCGTCAGCAAGTCCTCACCTTGGCTGGTAAACGGCTGGACAATGCGTACCATTGCACAGTGGTCCAGAATGCAGATTTAGGTGGAATGATATGTTTTGAGCCTGCAGCAAAGATCTAAAAGTTATTTGAAGACATCTTTGCTGAGAAATTTGAAATAAGAAAACTAGAGCAAAACAACTGTTTTTTAGAGACACCCTAACTCAATTCAAGACAATAGCTCTAAATCGGTCAATTTAAGAGATACATTTTTTCATACTAAATTGCTAGAAAATAGCTCAGCTATAACATTGTCAAAAATTTAATTTATTCAAACAAAAAAGTTAGATTTTTGATTTTATTGATAATAAGAACCACCCTAGAATGCATTGTCATAAAAATAAGGGCCTAACTATAAGGAACAACTTTGCAGAAGATACTTTTAGTCTAAAGTTTCAATTTCAGGCTCAAAATATATCATTTCACCTAAATCTGCATTCTGGACCACTGTGCATCAAGGGGCAAGACAGCTGTTGATCATGAGTTAGAACGGAGTTAACATTGAGTTACTTCGAGTAACTCGAGTTGCTCAAAATTCAATACAAGCAGACTCAGTAGCCAGGTTTTTGTCCTTTTATGTTGTGCTCTTTCCCAAGTTGTTTGCAATATCATCTAACCGCGTTTCATACAGGAACATCATCCTCAAATTACGTAACTGTTCGTCTTCCAACATGTAATCTAGTGATAAAGCCCATCGCCTATCAAATTTAATCGTTTAATTGTTTCATACCGTTTTCAGATTAAAAATAAGTTGGACATCTATGAATATTTGCTGGACGACATTTGGTTTGTCTGGACCGCGACTGAAATAACAACGGCTCTCAAAATATTCCAATGATTTTTACTGGGGTAGTGATAGAATTCAATGCAGCAATTGTGCAGTTTCTGAGTAACGTGTTATATTATAATTTTATTATCATTGCAATTGCACATTGTAGTTTATACATTAAATAAATTACAATAAGAAATTTCCTGTTGAAAATGCAAGCATTCGCTGGGATTTAATAAACACAAGAAACTAGCATTCTCTTTTAATGTTAATAATTTTGCTACTAAATTATTCAAGGAAATGGTAAATGATTCCATCCTTCATGAATAGGTAGCTTATCCTCTCCTTGGTGCAATACTTGAATCAACTCAATTAATGACACATATAGAATGAAAATCTTAGAACTTAGCGTAATGATAACACGGAGTCACAGGTGTTGGATTGAAGGGTTCTGCGATTCTTACCCGACGCCACTAAGCGATAAAGGGCCACCCACATTAGATCCGTTTGCGTTGCGTTGACGTAAATGTGACAGTTTGACAATAGATTTAGCAGTCACTTTGCCGTAACGCATCCGATCCGGATGCAATGTGCGTGGGCTTTAAGGGATTCCCCTTTTATCGGTTCGACAAAGCGCAGCCTTGTTGTCCACTACTGACGTAGTCAGAAGGAAGCACCTGAGCATCGGAAACAGTTCTATGTAGCCACGAAACTGCCATACCAGCCCACCACCACCACTACGCAGTCTTATCACCATCTGCTTGATACGATAGGCACAATATCATCCACCATCATCGGAATCGAGTCTGGAACCGATTCCTGAACCTCATCACAAGCTTTCGTTGGATTGCAGTGGATGTTCACTGTCTTTTAACTTGTTGACACAAGACTGCTTTGATCACTTTTGAGTAATTATGAGTAACTCAAATTTACTCTATGCAAAAATATTAACTCGGAGTACGGCTGACTCGCCCCTAGCTGTGCATTGATAATTCGCTTATCTTCAGGTATAAAATAGACCCCACTAGCGGTCCTTAGCCTCTTGTCTACTATACCTACCTCTCCGCGGGGCCGGCTGGGGTACGAGTAACCATAGGAAAGATCGAGTAACCAACCCCGGTGGGACCTTGGTCGTATGCTGACAGGGAAGAGGGGACTCCTCTCTCCAGAGAGTGCAGTCTTCGAGCGTCTGTTCACCATGGAGGTGCGGCTCGAAACGGCGTCTGTTCTCAATGTTAGGAGCGCCTGATCAACGTCCTGGTGCCAACGTGGGACTCTAAACAGTGCTGTGCACGATGGTCTCCCGGCGAGACGATGGGGGTTGTTGCAGGCCGTAAAAAAAAAACAAAAGTACAGGAAGCAAGCAATGTAAATACGGACCGGAACAATCGGCATAGACCCAAGCAACGGAAACGGACTAACGATTGGAAACTCGGAACATGGAACTGCAAGTCTCTCAATTTCTTGGGAAGTACCCGCATTCTTTCCGATTTATTGACATTCAACAACAACATTCGGTACAATCTGGAGCGACTGAAGCTGCCCGAAGTCGCAACTGAGTACGTGCAATGCCTCGACGCAGCGTTGCCGGATGAGGGAGAACTCACCGAAACCCCTCTTGAGGACTGCTGGAGCAACGTGAAAGCAGCCATTGACAGCGCTGCTGAAGGCGCCGTTGGGTTCGTGGAGCGGAATCGACGGCACGATTGGTTCGACGAAGAGTGTCAGACGGTTTTGGACGAGAAGAACGCAGCGCGGGCGGCCATGCTGCAGCAAGGAACCCGTCATAATGTGGAGCGATATAAACAGAAGCGAAGACAGCAAACCCATCTTTTCCGGGATAAGAAGCGCCGCCTGGAAGAGCTGGAGTGAGAAGAAATGGAGCAGCTAAATCTTTCTCAAGATACACACAAGTTCTACAAGAAACTCAACGCATCCCGCCAAGGTTTTGTGCCGCGAAATGTGTCGGGATAAGGAAGGGGATATCTTAACGGACGAACGTGAGGTGATTGAAAGGTGGAAGCAGCACTACGATCAACATCTGAACGGCGCAGAGGCGGAGGACCAAAGCGGCAGGAAGAATGGCTTCGTCGGTACAGCGGATGAGGGGGACATGCCAGCTCCCACGATATATGAAGTTATCCGGCAGCTTAAGAACAACAAAGCAGCTGGGATAGATGGTTAGGTTAAGTTTTCAGCCTTGGGCTGGTTTGCCTCCGGCGGGAAAGATGGTATCGGAGCGGAACTTATCAAAATGGGCCCGGATAAGTTGGCCACTTGTCTGCACCGACTGATAGTTAGGATCTGGGATACAGAACAGCTACCAAAGAAGTGGAAAGAGGGAGTAATATACCTAGTATATAAAAAAGGCGACAAACTAGAATGTGAGAACTATCGAGCGATCACTATTCTTAACGCGATCTACAAAGTGCTTTCCCAGATCATCTTTCGCCGTTTATCGCCGCTAGCAAGCAGATTTGTGGGAAGTTATCAAGCTGGTTTTGTGGACGGGCGATCGATAACGGACTCACTTTTTACGTTGCTGCAGATCCTCCAAAAGTGTCGTGAATATCAAGTTCCTACGCACCACCTATTCATCGATTTCAAGGCCGCTTATGATACCATTGACCGTGAAGAGCTATGGAAGATTATGGACGAGAACGGTTTTCCCGGGAAGCTGACAAGACTGATCATGGCTACGATGGATGGTGTACAGTGCTGCGTGAAGATATCGGGTGCGTTATCAGACTCCTTTGAAACTAGCAAAGGTACTTCGACAAGGCGATGGTCTTTCCTGCCTGCGTTAATAATGTCAAACGGCATTCCTCCTGTATTTACCTTAAACCTAAACATGATAAGACGTGTGACGAAACAGTTATAAAGTCATCAACACAAATTTTCGAAATCAAGTTTTAATTACAGAAATAGATATACGCGGAAAAAGGAGCAGCAGACAAATTGGTGTTCATAATAACTTGCATACGAATTATGTATACGATGCACTTCTCCGCTGAAAGCTTTACGGATGGTCTGGAAAAGGTGAGAATAGGTTGTTCAATTCTAAGTTCAAAACACAATGCAGTAAAAATGCCAAACATACAAGCTTGAGATGTTCAATAATTTGATCATATTATTATGGATTATAACGCCTAAAGTTATGCATTATCTTTATAAAAGCAGCGACATGTTTACATTCTGTGATTGGCTGATTCAATCAAATTATTAACTAATTGACGATTTACACTACAAATTCGCTCATTGTCAGAACCTTATAATGAAAAATAGTATCCTTGAAGTGTTGCAAGACCTTCAAGCAAATTGAATATCAGCATAGGGTTTCTTGTAATTCCACATGAATTCCACTTCAGATAGCAAAAAGCTCGCATCAATGTTTTCTTTTTATTATTTCGCACAGTTGATATACTGCCGATACTCGCATAATTGTCCCATCTTTGCTTGATTTCCTATTCATATGGGACAGTTATGCTTTTATGGGCAGTATACTGCCGTTATACGCATAAAAGTTCCACGGTGCATAAGGATTGCATAGAACATGGGACAGTTATGCATATAACGGCAGTATAGGTCATAGTCAACTTTTTTTTAAATCGTCAATAACTCCTCCAACATCGAGATACAAATTATGATCTCGATTTTTACATAGCTAACTTTCAGTTATAAACTAGCGTTAACCCGTTAACGCTCCAGTCATTGTTGACTTCCGGACATGAGTAACCCAAGGATTATTCTCATATTATTTGAAAACAAGATGTTAAGGATATTCCAAGGATCATACAAGTGATATTGAAAACATATTTTACGTTCCCATTTTCTGTTAAGCCATGATAAAAGAAAAAAATATGCTGATCTATAAATAGATCACTGGGCGTTAATGAGTTAATGGAACACCTACTCTCCTTCTACCGTCTTACTCTAAACCAAACAAACAGTGTTCGTACTCACCAATCTTGGACCCATCCAGCGGGACCACATGTTCCTTGATTCCACCGAACAGCGTCTCAGCGCCACCGCTGCCGTCGAGTTCGCGTAAAACATAAGGAGAAATGGACAAAAGACCGCTCGATTAAAATTAGAACGTAACATTTTCCACTCTTTCCTTCTACATGCAAACAGTTTTGTTCTTCATTCACACACGCCTACCAATAGGTATATAGGTAAGTACAACAACATCTTCTAGTCTGATTTGCATTTTGCGAATTACGAACAACACTTTCTTTGATCTTCACGTTAAATACCAGTCAGGCACGCAAATTCACGCTCGGGATCGTGCAGATAAAAATGGCTCACCTAAACTCCACCGTAATGGTAGCGCCGGCGGAGATTACTTCCTCGTCGATCGTATCGTCCATGGTGATGCTGCTGCCGGTGCCGGTGCGGTAACGTTCCACTAAGGTAGCCACGATTGAAGAATAAGAATAACACACGAATTGCAGATCTTTATATAGGCGATGATATTTTCAGTGTGAGGGAAAAATCACGCGGTTCCTCGCTATTCCACTTTTCACTAACAAGAGACCACCAGATTCACTTTCCACCGCCCGAAGCAGACTAAACCTCGGAACCGAGGGTCGGTTGCTTTTTAAAATTCACCGATCGTGAGAAGCTATCCCGAGATCACATGCGTGATTCTCTGCTGGCGAAAAGGGGAAACACGATCTTACGGTGACATCAACCAGAAAAAGGCAGAGTTGAACTTGGTTCTCATTTAAAGATGTTCAGTACTTAAGCTTTGTGGTTAGACTTATGAAATGAACTATAATTTAACAAAATGTGACTACATAGAAGTATAAACAGGTTGCAATCTTTAGAACACAGGGAAGAAGCAGAGGCACGAAGACAGCTCAAATTATTCGCACTTACCTACTCGAGAATAATACTCTCACGCTCACCTCAGACGATGGTGTACGATGGGAAATATGCACAAACGAATCAGTGAAAAAAAATCGTGAACACCGCGAATACAGACGAATACAAAATTATTAGATTCGTGATCTTCGTGATACGCATGCAAACGTAAACAAAGGCACGTTTTGAATCGGAACCGCGGCACGAAGCAGCTGAGCTCGAACTGCCAGTAACTGTTGACGTTTATTCGTGTCTTTCGAGGGGCTCGCTGATGTTCATAACTTGTTAATGTAATCACCTAGCTTGATTTTTGCACAATGTGGACGCTAAATAAGCGGGCATTTTATTCGGCGTCGCTTCTTTAAAATCCAGATGAGCATATATACTTCCGGATCCAGTATGGATATGCGGGTATCATGCGGGCGTGTTGAAACCGTATACACGAAACGAAAATCAATTATTTAATTCATGTGTTTCACTTATACATTTTTGCCAAAGCATCAGCCTTATACATTCCATAAGACAAACCACATAGGTCCTATTAGAATGCTTAAAAGGTATGTGTGACCGCTTATACATTTCATTTGACACATGATCTTTATTAACTTTTTGCAAGGCGTCTGCTTATTAGTCGACTTATACAATTTATGAATAATCAGCAATGGAAATTTGCCAAAAGGTATAAGGAGATTTCTATCCGTGTACGGTTTCAACACGCTCGCATGATTTTGGAGATGAACTAGCCAAAGGCTAAAAATCTCCCTAATAAAGTTTAAAAAAAAAAACGCCCGCGTGATACCCGCATATCCATACCGGAACCGGAAGTATATATTGTGTCTACGTTATGGGTTCTTTGTTCATTTTTGTTAAAATCATATAATGTGATTTTTTAATAAGGAACACAATATATATAATCGTTAATAGAATTGAAAAAAAAAACCATTGGTAGAATTAAAAGTTTGCATTGGTTCTTTTTGGTAGAAAGTCCCGAGCTTTCAATATAAAAATGTGTTACCTTTCAAATCAAATGTTTCCCTTCTTGTTAATTTTAAAAGTTGCAAAATTGAAATCAAATTGTAGAACTGTCAAAATAAAAACCAAGGTTTTTAAACTGACGTATGAATTGTTGCACACCAAAAGATGCTGGTTTCAAAGCAAGAATATACAATTTTTACATCAAATTAGAGTAATTTTCAAAGAACTAGTTCTCATAACTGAAGAGAAAGTATCCAAACTCATATATTTTATCATTTTCAATAATTATGTATATTTACCAATTCAATTAACAATTAAAAACAAACGTTTTATGCAACCACCATAGATTGCTGCCGAGTTTTAAGATGACGACGATCGACATGAAGGCGGTGAGAAACGGAGCCTTCATGATGCGTTCCCAAAACCTTTCCAAGGATGGAGGTTCTTGTTAACTTGGTCATTTTCCCCAGCGGAACAGCCACATTAGATCTATTGTTTCAGCTGATACAGCGAGTTCATTCCATCAATTTTACCGGAACGTTAATACAGGTGGTTTTCAATGCAGATCGCAGTTTAGCACTATTTTGGAATCTAAAATAACATTCAGTTGCACCAACCAATAAACTTGCAAATAAATATTACTGCTACTTACCTCTTTGAACGATAGTCGCTGCGTTTCCAAATCCTCCAGGATGGCCGAAATCTATTTCCACAAATGTCCTACTTCGGGAAAGCAGTCCGTTGGATGGGAGTTCTGTTAGGAAAATAATGTTCGTAATAAACAAATTTGGGAAACAACAATGATTCCAACAGATTTTAACTTACTTTTTTTGTTTTTTGACCCAACTTTCTGCAGTAGACGGCTAACTTCGCAATGTAGTTTTGCCTATCGAAAAAGGTGGCAAATGAAGGCTCAGTGCTGCCAGTGAAAACGTGCTATGACGACATATTTTTGAAAGTTGAACAACTTTTCTATTGAAAAATTTTACTTTTAGAATTACAAGTCGAAAGTGAAAGAAACACTTTCTATCCAAAAGGATCCATTTAGTGTTAAATGTTTTCGTAGTTGAAACTACGGATTTTTGGAAACTTTCAATTTAAAAATGCATTATATTTATTGAAACAATTTTTGTTTTTTTGTGTGCAGTAGTTACCTCTTTGGTTTTTTTTTTAATTTCTTTTATTTGGCAGGCTCAAATGTTATAAAAATAACTTAGCGGAGCCGAGTAACATGGAATACCAAAATACAAAAAAAAAAGATATAAAAATGCATTTTTGCATGGGATTTTTCTGGGTGGCGATCGAAGCGGTGACAAAGCGATCTTCTCCCGTGCACGCAACTTCTTTCATTCCCGAATTTGTTCCTCATTTTCATTGAACCCGAACCGTGACCGCTGCTGCTGCTTCTGAACGTCGTTTCCCGTTGCATGCTCTCCGCTACTCTCGTTGGCCGTCGGGGTCGTCACGTCCATTTCGTTATTTTCATTCAACATCTCCAACCCCGTGTCCGTTTCCTGGTCGCTAATGACTAGCGACGCACCTTCCACCACTACACCAGCATACGTACTTTATCTTTGTTGCCATCATAAAATATATTTTCTTTGCGATTGAAGAAATGTAATGACGTGGGGATTTCCTTCACCACATCCATATATATACCATAGAGGTAACTCTAAGACTAGTAGGTCCCGAAGAAATGCGCTTAACTTTTTGGCTCAGCTCTGGTACTATCTTCGGTCCCAAGCTAATAGATGAACCCCTCGAAACTTAGGAAAATCCATGAACCCCTCATTTTATCTGTCAAACTTCCATTGAGAATCAAAACAAACATAGTGTAGTACTAGAATTTCAACTTGAATGGGGTACGTTAATCGATTTGCTTGGGACCAATAGGCTAGTCAAGTAGTGAGCCAATTTCAAATCGATAGTTTTGTATTGATTGTTGTATATACCGCGTATCCTGTATATACCTCAAAACACAGATCAGTTGGAAATTTCTCCCGTTATCGATTTTCTTGAGAACAATTGGGTTGTTTAACTTCGAAAAATTTACCGATTTTTATACATCATCTGATAGAGCTTCGTTTTCTGAACACAACAATATTTTTATCGATCCCGTAGACATTCATCTCTATTTTTTAATTAAGATTTAAATTTTTGATCGTTGACACTACATCTATTCGATGACAGCTCACTCCCATACAAAGTCCCACCAAGATGGTGATTTTCGCTTATGTAATCGTACTTATTTAAAATAGTTCCAGTGTACCAAAATTGATGAAATTTTGGATTTCGGTTCCATTTTAATGCAGATTACTAATACGCATTTACCTCAATACGCAGCGACGCCGGTGGTGTAGTGGTAAGCGTGATTACCTCTCACCCCAGCAGGCCTGGGTTTAATCTCAGTCAGCGCCGCCGGGATGTTCTGAGGCATAACATCTCTGATCACGCCTTCCTTCAGAAGGGAAGTAAAGCCGTTGGTCCCCGGTTAATGAGTTGATGAGTCGATAGGTAGAGTCCAGGTGTGGGAGCTGCCTCCCTGGCGTCGGTAGCATTGGTGCTCAGCACGGAAAACAATATTGACTATACTCAAGGAAAAAAAAATACCTCAGTACACTCAATAAGCTATTTTACGTGACGTCTTGATGACAGTTCCTGGCGGGCCACTCGAACGCGCTCGAGGCATTGTTCTTGTTTACGTCTGATGTTTTTGTTTTGATTTTGTTTGTGATATGTCAACAAATCGGCCCGATGGTAAACGTCAAAATAGGTAAACAGAAAAAAACAGCTGACTTGAAACGTCTCGTAAAATGCCTTATACCATAGAGGTAACTCTAAGACTTGAAGGTCCCGAAATAACGGGCTCAACTTTTTGGCTCAGCTCTGGTACTCTCTTCGGTCCCAAGCTAGTCGATTCACCCCTCGTAACATAGGAAAATCCACGAACCCCTCATTTTATCTGTCAAACTTTCATACCGAATCAAAACAAACATTGTGTAGTAGTAGAATTTCGACTAGAATGGGGTACGCTAATCGTTTGCTTGGGACCAATAGGCTAGTCAAGTAGTGAGCCAATTTAAAATCGTTAGTTTCGTATTGATTGTTGCTTATACCCTTAAACCCAATGTGGATTGATTGAGGTGCTACACAGAAAAAAAAAGTTGTTGAATATTACATCCAAACTGCTGCAACCAGGTCAATCCATCGGTTGTGCGATGTACATCGATTTTGCGAACAAATTTACATCCATTGATGTAATATTGTATCTTCTTTTTGCTATTACATCATTATTTCATACATACATCAGCTTGAATAACATTGATTGATATTACATTGATTGATATTACATTTTTTTTGCTGTGTACAAGCTACCGTGAAGCGATTAACCTTCTGGCGACCCCTTTCCAAGGAAAAAACTTCTGAAGGGCAATTTTTTGTTTTCCTGACTTTGACGTTTCTCATGTTCGCTTATCTTCAGTTTCTTTTTTTTTTCTCTGAACTTCGAAGACGAACATTTTGGAATCTCATCCAATTGGCCCCGCATCGTAAGAGGTAAATATTAAAACTTTGTCTATATTCGGAAATCTTTGGTGATAAGCGTGATAAGTGTTGCATTGCACTTATTTTACTTTTCACCGTACTTTAATTCGCTGCGACGAATCTTATCAACGCCAAATTATACAACCTAAATCTCAATCCTGTATTTCTTCAGATTAGAAAAGATCCCAATCGGTGACGGTGAGTCAAGCCAAGAGCCCGGTGGTGCGTTGGAAGTTATCGTTCTTGTTGTTGAACTGATTCAAAAATAAACCAAGATGAAGCAAAATCCACAGCAGAAGGAGAGTGTAAGTTGAGCAAATATGAATCATCAGCTGTTTATAGATAGATAATTGTTCGAGATATCAATAGGTGGATAACCGGACGAGAATGGAGGGTGGTCGGAACATTCCGCCGGCACTGAAAAAGCTGTTGGAATGGGACGTTATCATGACAAAACGGTTCGTCAGCTTCATGTTGAATTTCATTGCTCTCAGATCGCTGAGGACGCACTGTAAGATTTTGGAGGTAGGATTAGATGATTGGCTTTTTGTTTGGATTGATAAGATTATGAAATATGCACATTATTTCAGTATTCATGCCACGGCATAGCTTGGCTGTCGGGATGGCTTGCCTTCTGCTGGATGATTGACAAGCCGGAATGGTATCAGATGCAGGTGAACCTGTTCATTGGTCTTCTCACGGATATCGTTATTGTGGCTGTCATCAAAGCAGCAACTCGCCGCCGTCGGCCGGCCGTTAACGATGATCCGTTCTGCATTGGCCCAGACAAGTTTAGCTTCCCGTCAGGACACGTATCCAGAGCTGTCTACATTGTCACCTTCTTGACTTGGTTGGACCCGGTCACATTTGTCCTGTGGCCACCGCTACTGGCGTGGTGCGTTTCGATGTGCCTGTCCAGATTGCTTCTGTATAGACACCACATTCTTGATGTCATCGCCGGTATCTTCGTGGGATTGCTGAACGCTTTCCTGATTTCCATCATCTGGCTCAATCAGGAAAGTTGCGTTTGGGTGATCTCTTACATGACCGATGAGAAGATGTCCGGTGCGGAGTACGGAGTTTAGGAGGTTCCAAAGAAAGATTTTGACGCTTATGTAATGGATAATCATCATCATGTTTTCGCTAGCAGTACCATAGAAATAAAGTTGCAGCCATAGCTCTGGACGACTAAGTAATTTAGTGATCCTTGAGAAAGGCCAATGTCATCAACACTTACAAAAATCGTACTTACATTGTAAGCCTTTATTAACATCAACGTAATTTCCTAAAACGTGAACACTTCCACCGACCTCGGCACTAGCGTCACTCGAACCGGCCTTACTTCGTACGCCTCGTTGTCAATGGAATAGTACGCCTCACTGTCACTGTCATCGACTTTCAACTTTTCCGGAATCAAATACACAGTCCTAGCTTCTATGCTCTTCTCCGTGGGACATTCGGTATACCGTCGGTTCCATATCCTGGACCAGCTGTCTCCCAGAAAGCTAAACGTCGAATCCACGGGATTTCCAATTTTTACACATAGCTTAGAATCTGTACCTTCCTTTGATCCCATCTGCGAGTTTGTCGTATGCAAGACCAATTCTGCAGGATCCACTTCCAGCTCATGTGGAACGGAGCAGCTTTCGTTCACCACCTTGGAATAATCGACGCCTGGCGTGGTCTTCGCTCTGGGCAAAAACACCGACCACCACCTTCTGGCTGGCTCATTCTTTGGCTGCTGCTCCTGCTGACTATCTTTGTAACACTTGCTACATCCCTGGCAGGGTTCCGTGTAGGTCACCTTGGCCTTACAATTCCACGTGTGCTTTCCATCGAATGCATTGAACAGGAAAGCCGTGTAATCCCTCAACGAGCCCGTGTACCAGTACTTATCCCTCAGGGCGAGAATATCCCGAAACGCTCCCCACTGAAGACTTCCTAAAGCGTAAACCGGCTTCTCCGGTACCGTCTCGTCGATCTCATTGGGCAGCACTTCAATCTTCATCAGATCCATCTTTTCCTTCTTCCCAGCCACGACGGCGTAGGCCGCATTTGCCATTGCCCGGACATTCTCAAGCGTTGTAGTCTGGTCGCTAGTTCGGAACAGCGCCGTAGCCAAACCGTTCGTGCGTCCCACCGGTAGGACCCCAATCGGACACTCGGCACCATCTGTTCGGCGTTTCAGACCGGAGACCACCTCCGACACGGTTCCATCGCCACCGGCAACGACGATCGCATCCGGCAGGGTGGCCAGTTCCTCCAGATAGCGACGAGCGTGGCCCTCGGAATCGGTTTTCACGACGTCGACTTCGAAGCCCGCCAGGTGCAGGATGGGTTCACAATAGTCGTGGAACTGCGGTGGGAAAGAAACGGATAAGGTCAGCTGCAACAGAGTATAACAGCAATAACTTACGTCTTCCTCGCAAGATTTCCGATTGGCAGCTGGGTTCACAATGACCAGTACCTTCTGAAGTCGTTCGTTGGTGCCGATCAGAACATCACCGTACTTGGATGCTTCGGTGCAGTAGTGACGCATAAGTTGTTTGATTCTGTAATGAAGTTTATGGATTTGTAATTTTCATTTTTTCCAAAACTGGAAGACGAAATACGAAGGAGTTCAGGGGGACTCTTAAGATAAGGACGGTTATTCGGCGTCGCGCTTAAACATTTTCGTTAGCACGGTTCGGTGGAAAACTTCCGGGAAATGTGATACCACCATAAAATTGAACCTGTATGTTTTTAACCAGAAATTGGAATGAATAGCAACTATCGATTATTTAAGGGTGCGATTATGGTAACACAAGATCTTTGTCTTCTTAGCTTTTCACCATTTTTTGCAAGCCTGATTATCTGAACACGTCCAAAGCTTCGCAATCTATGGAAAACATTATATAGAGTGTATTTCTTGAGACTGGAAAAATGAAGCTTAATTTCTTATATTCTGCCTAATGATCAATTTAGCTATACTAGCGTTTTGCCTAATGCCCCGTTCACATTACAGCGTATATCACGTGATATACGCTGTCTTGCAATGAGCACTCATACATCTAGTTTTCACTGGAAATCCTATGTATGAGTGCTCATTGCAAGACAGCCTATATTACATGATATAAGCCATAGTCTTTACGGGGTATAATGCCTTTTTTTTCAAAAACCTTCATTCAAAAAGATAACAAAAGAAAGGAAATTAAAAAAAAAATCCATTACAATCTGAAAAATCTGTAGAATGTTCTGGTCTAAAAATTCGTAGACTTGACCACACTGCGCTCAGGATGCAAAGCTTTTACGTTGACTCTTTACACTATTGGAGGTGCTCAGGATACGTGAGGGAGATTACATTTACTACATTTTTATTTCAAACCAACCAATTAAAGCCGAGACTAAAGCATTCCCGCTTGTACATCGATCCAAGTAAATCGAAGGTTCTTTGCAAAGTAGTATTAAAACTAGTAGAAAGGCTCCTCAATTTTTAAATAAAAATCTTACTTTCCTCTGGGTATCTAACACTTCCTAAAACCAATATTATTCCATACATAAATAGGTTAATTCTTATCAAATACTCACTCATATTTCTCGTGCGAGTATGAAACTCCGTAAGCCACGGCGCCAGCCAAGACGGTCGACTTTTTCCAGTGATTCCTCACGCCCTTGGCAAAACGGATGATGAATGCCATCTCCTCTAGCTTATTTCACACTTTGTTCACTTGATTGCATATATTTTTCCGGTAAATTAACCCGAAACATAAAATAATGAACTTTTCCTCGAGATTGTTGCACAAGATCAGCGTGATTGCGATTTATTTCTTCGCCTCCGACACACGATTTGACACACCGCAGTTTGTTTTGATTCTTCCGATTCGCGTACTGCTTAACCCCTTCAGAAACAACCACGCCATTACTACGCCATTTTGTATCAACTGGGAGCACTGCCACGTTCGTGCGTATTTTTGACATTTCCCTTTTGCACCGCCTTTCGACCTTCCACCCCCTCCAACCAACCCGCGCAAAGAATCGTTACTCCAGCGCAAGCAGCGAACAAGAAAAAAAAAGCTAGCAGACAGAAATCTCATCGCCATCTTCGGGTTCAGTTTGTTCGAGTTCTATCTTCCGCTGGTTGGCTTGCTCCACCCGCCGCGGATCACTGTTTTACCAAAATCTGTTCTTTGTATGTTTTCTCAACCAAAATTTGTGCTTAAAAATGTTAATAATTTAAAAGTGAAGGTTCGAAAGCCAGTGTTTTTGTTTCGTTGTTTGCAAACGAATCTGTGTTATCGTGTTTTTGCCTCGGAGTGTTTCTTGTTGTACAAAGATAAAAAAAACAAGTTCCCTTCAGAGTTCAGCAGCATATCGACATAAAAAAAAACAGCTCGGGTTGCTTGGATTGAGGGAGCGACAAGTGCGTGTGAGTGCGAGGCGGAAGTCAAGAAAGAACTTACCCAAAGAAAGAAGTGCCTTATCGTACGGTTATAGTTTTCTGGGAAGTAAAAATTTTGTGATATCAAAAAAGGCGAAAAAAAAAAAAAATCTGAGAGTGAAAATATTGAAGAAAAAGGGCGGAGCTGTGTGGAAGGGAAACGCCAGGAAACAAGAAGAAGTTGAATGCAAATTGCTCCTCGCCTGTCCGTGGAGCAGTAAAAAGAAGCAGCATCATAGTAGCCAAGTTGGTTGAAAAAGGAAAATTCTCAATCGGCTTGCTTTGTTGGATTGGTGTTTTATACGCTTCTGTTGTAAACGAATAGCAGCAACAGCAGCAGCAGCTGGTGGAAAACTCCAGTGAAGCAGAAAAAAAAATCCAATTACACTCGAAGACGAAGGCAAATAAATTGTGTTCCAACAACAAAGTTCGGACTGTGTCTGCTGTGAGTTGCTGTTCCAGAATATTTAGGGTGTGGGGGCCATCCGGCAGAGCAGAGCAACAAGTAGAAGAGGGGAGTAATCTCCCGGAAGATTTTGTTCTCTTCTCCATCATCATCACTCTATCGTTTGACTGTTGTTTGCGTTGGTAAATCGTTAGAATCACACGCAAAAACGAGAACAAGAAAGTCGGTGCTGGGTTGGATCGGGATCGGGACCGGGAGAGGAAGAGTATACAGAAACGGCAGCAACCAGATGACGACGAATAAAGAGGTCTATCACGAAGGCTGGTTGATCAAATCGCCTCCGACGAAGCGAATCTGGCGAGCGGTGAGTCACTTTTCCCTGTATCGCCTTGTATTTATTTTTTCGGGTGAGGTTTATATGGTGTTATATTTGCCTATTTTGTGTGCTCCCACATTCGTTCTCACAGTCACCGAATTTTCCGGAGCAGATAGAGCTATAGAGCGGTTCCACGAACAAGTGGGAAATTTTTCCAGTTTTTATTTTTTGTATTTTTTGATTTGCATGAAACCTTGCATACAAGTTTTTGGGGAAGAAAAACGCCGTTTTGCATACTTGGTTCGCCATTTTGAATCTAGCCTTACTTATGAGAAGGGCCTATGAAAAATGCACATGATATCTTCAAAAAATTGTATCTCGGAAACGGTTTGTCCGATTGGTTTGATGTCTTGCGCGAAGTTTTAGACAATTGTTGGTGTTATATGGAGAAAATATGCACGGTAAAAAAAAAGTTTGGTATTTGTGTTTTAAACTAAAATATAAATTTTCCCTTTAAAGTGACATGTCAGTATTTTTTTTATTATCTTTATGTTATAGCTGACTAAAAATGCTATCTAGTGCACAGTAGGTTGTTCTGGAGAAAAATAGGTTACGATGAAAAAAATTGTTTTTTAAAAAAATACAATTTTCAAAAAAGCTATTAAGAAAAGTCAAAAAAGTTTGTCACCCTAATTTTATGAAAGAACATCAAATTTGCAAACAAAAAGTACTTCGGTAACATTTTTCTAAGATGCACCGTTTAGAAGATATTACTGATCTAATATTGTTTTTTTTTATAACTTAATAAGTTTTGGCCCTTTTCGGATGTTTTCCGTGTTTTTCCAGTTTCAAAAGTATTTTTTTCGGAAAGATTGGAAAATTTTGAGTTAAAATGACACTGACAGCTTAAAGATTCGAGTGAAATTCTCTGCCTTAAAAGTATTTTGAAAAACAAGTTACAAAATCCCACTATCAGGAACAATGATTTCTTCAAATGATTTTTGGTGCGTTGTGCTGAAAACGTGCTAACAAGTATTAGATACAGGTAATCAGATACCAGTTAGCTGTACTACGTACAGTTGGTGACCATAACGCTGGCCATAACGAGGCTAGCTCCGTCGCTGACCGTTCCTTAATAATAAATAAAAAGAACGCAGTAGTCACATTCCATCATACTAGAGGGCTGCCGACTGATACCTCAATCAACAACCGCCGCACTCTTTATTCATTCCAGGTATATACAATTTACAATCTTCTTCAATAACAATATACCTACGCCAGCAAATCTACCTCGCTCCAACTCTCCAAACTCGTACCTGAAGGTTCGACGATACCTGAGCGTTCAACTCTACCTATCTTCCAACAGTCTTTACCCAGCATTCTATGATTTCTACCCGTGAGCTGTATAATAATGTCTGACTCGGTTCTGAATTCATCCAGTATCTACTAGGGAAAACCAAACAGTAAATGCAGAAAGGTTGCTAGTAGCATAGTGATTATAGTAATTTCAGCTCATAATCCTGTGTTTTTGAACGAGATCCAGTGTTGTTTGATAACATAATAAAGGAAAGTGTAACACGTTTTGGTGCAAAGGTAATTTTTAAATACACATTTTAATTATATGTTTTGTGATATTTTCGTACAAAACTAACAATTGGAAAATATTTTCTATGTTACAGATTACAAAATGAGTAAAATAAGGTGTATTCGCCCATTCAAAGACATTCAGTGTTCAAAAGAGCTGCGATATCTCACGGATGGTATCATCCAAAAACTAAAATCAATTGGATTTTCCAAGGTATCCACACTGAACACCAAGGATTTTCGTGTTTGTTCGTCTTGCCGTCTACATATTGATTCAAGAGCTCACCTCACCCAAAACGAGGAACAAAGCGTAGCCGGCGGCTCAAGGATGCCAACTGTTGAAAGTTTGGTCACGATACCATCAGAGTCAACGCTAAGCACAATTAAATCAAATGAAGACTTCACGATGCCTGTAGACGTCGAAATATTCAACCGAGGAATAGCAGCTATTCGTGTTTCGCCTATAGATTTAGGTAAGGTTAAAAATGTTCACTATCCTGAAAAAAAGTGCGCTGAAATCGTCGAAGGTGTACGAAGAATTCTTTTTAAATTAGACGCTAAAACAGAAAAAGCAAACGAGTTTGATGAAGTCATAGAAAACATGAAAATTAAATTTTTAAATTCAGCCACAAGGCAAGAAAAACTATCAATTTTATCATTGTTGCCAAAATCATGGTCAGTACAAAAAATTGTAGACGAATTTAAAACCAGTAGAAATATGGCATCAGATGCAAGAAAGGAAAGAGATAATATATTTGATTCATCTCAAGGTTCAAGCTCTGGAAAAGTCAAAGTATGGTATTGACGCTGAATGGCATTTCTTCGCAACATCGCACGGAAAAGGTCCATGCGATGCTATTGGAGGTACGATAAAACGCATGGCTACCAGAGCAAGTTTAGCCAAAGAACGCGAACACCCGATAAAGACTGCAAGAGAGTTGTTTAATTGGGCAAACAAACGAAAAGAAGAAGAACTTACAAAGTTGTCATTTTGTTATTCTACTACAGAAGAATACGAAAATATGTCTTTGCAGCTAAATAATCAATATAATAATGCAAAAACAATTCAAGGAACTCTAAAATTCCACTCATTTCTTCCTCTATCAGAAAATACAATAAAGGCAAAGCTTTATTCAAACTGTCCTGACAATGATGCCAAAATATTCAATATTGTTAAGAAAGTTGTGCAAACAATAATTTTATAAAAATACAGGAATAAAAATAAACTGATGATATCCAACATATAATGTTATTTTTTATTGCGCACAATCACCATCCCTGAAAAATAAGCTTAATTCGCTCTTTTGAATCTTGCTAATTGAGGAGCTTACATTTGCAGTTCTCAAAAAGGTGTATCTCGAAATCGAGTTGTCTCATCGGTTTGATGTCTGTGGCGATGTTCGGCAATAGAGAGAAAATATGCACAGTATAAACACATCCAGTTTAAATGGATTAAACTGTTAGGCGATATGCAAGAGTTGAATGCACATTTTCAGCACAACGCACCAAAAATCACTTGAAGAAATCATTGTTCCTGATAATGGGATTTTGTAACTTGTTTTTCAAAATACTTTTAAGGCAGAGAATTTCACTCGAATCTTTAAGCTGTCAGTGTCATTTTAACTCAAAATTTTCCAATCTTTCCGAAAAAAAAATACTTTTGAAACTGGAAAAACACGGAGTACATCCGAAAAGGGCCAAAACTTATTAAGTTATCAAAAAAAAAACAATATTAAATCAGTAATATCTTCTAAACGGTGCATCTTAGAAAAATGTTACCGAAGTACTTTTTGTTGGCAAATTTGATGTTCTTTCATAAAATTAGGGTGACAAACTTTTTTGACTTTTTTAATAGCTTTTTTGAAAATTGTATTTTTTTAAAAAACAATTTTTTTCATCGTAACCTATTTTTCTCCAGAACAACCTACTGTGCACTAGATAGCATTTTTAGTCAGCTATAACATAAGGATAATAAAAAAATTATTGACATGTCACTTTAAAGGGGAAATTTATATTTTAGTTCAAAACACAAATACCAAACTTTTTTTTTACCGTGCATATTTTTTCCATATAACACCAACAATTGTCTAAAACTTCGCCCAAGACACCAAACCAATCGGACAAACCGTTTCCGAGATACAATTTTTTGAAGATATCATGTGCATTTTTCATAGGCCCTTCTCATAAGTAAGGCTAGATTCAAAATGGCGAACCAAGTATGCAAAACGGCGTTTTTCTTCCCCAAAAACTTGTATGCAAGGTTTCATGCAAATCAAAAAAGATGAAAACTACTCGTTGCTTTAATGATATGGAACCGCTCTATAGAAGTACATATATATTTCAGTATGAGCTGTCGTTTGTCCCATTCCGTTGAGTTTCCACGAGATAGCATGTCACGGCTAATTGCAGTTCTCGTAAATTTTTAACAAATTAGACACATAAATATTTCAATTTATGAATGTATAGTTATTAAGTTCTTCAAAATAATTTAATTAAGTAATATTTGCCTTCTCAGAGCCTTCCTGGCTGTGTATCTGCATTTGCAATACTTATTTCTTAGGTTTCGTAATATCACGATGCTCCTCAGACCGTTATTGTAGAACAAAAAAAAAACTCAATTAAAATTGAGTACACCAGGTACTTCTGAAATTTTAAGCAAAATAAAAAATAAATCAATGGGCGCATTTGTGCGTGAATACGCCCTTTGAAAATCGTAAGTGCAAACATCTTTTAAAAAACGATGAAACATTTCCTATAATGTATGTTTTACATTCAACAGCTTATAAAATAGCTGTATAAACCGAACACGGATTCATAACTGGGCGTTCTACAACTACGAACCTGCTGTGCCTAACGTCTTACATCACAGACAGTTTGATTGCTCGGACCCAAACGGACGTTATCTACACAGATCTTACGGCAGCCTTCGATAAGCTGAACCATGAAATTGCGATCGCTAAGCTTGATAGGCTAGGGATCGGTGGAAATCTTTTGAGATGGTTTTGTTCTTTCCTCACGGAGCGCCAGTAACTTTGGGTACTTGTCGCTTAGCAAGCTTCTGCGCAAAGTCCGGTATATCTCAGGGTAGCCATCTGGGACCATTGGTATTTCTCCTCTACTTCGACGACGTTCACCATGTTATCACAGAGCCACGATTATCGTTTGCAGACGATCTGAAAGTTTTTCTGCGCATCCGCTCACTCGCCGATTGCCGTTTTCTCCAAAATCAGATTGAAATCTTTGCTGACTGGTGTAGTCTAAACCGACTGGTAGTCAACCCAGCTAAGTGTACAGTTATTACTTTCTCACGCAAGAAACAACCGATTATTTTCAACTACAAACTACTAGGCACGACTATCGTACGGGTGCACTGCGTGAAAGACAGGCGTTTTTCTAGACTGACTCACACCATATATCGTATGTCGTCGACAAAGCATCCAGAACGCTAGGCTTTGTCTTCAAGA